CGCCCCACCCCACCCCACCCCCAGTGGGAGCTGGACCTCCACGGGCTCTACGTATCAGAGGCCACAGAGGCCCTGCGCCAGCGCCTGCAGCTGCTGCAGCGCCAGCCGCCAGGCCCAGCCCAGCCAGCCCCCACAGGCTCCGCCGCCGCCGGCCACCCCACGCGCGGCCGGGCGCTGCGCGTCATCGTCGGCCGCGGCAACCACAGCAGCGGCGGCGAGGCGAGCCTGCCGAGGGCGGTGGCGGCGTGGCTGGACGACGCGGGGCTGCGGCACCGGCTGGTAGGCGGCTCGATCGAGGTCGCGGTGCGGCCGCTGCCGCTCCCTCGGCGGCGCTAGCGGTGGGGTGTGCCGCGGCAACAGGGGCGCAGTTATGTCCAGGAGCGCGGTATGTTGAGGGCTTTTTTGGTGGGAGAGCCCTGGATTTCCGATGGTTTAGAGACAGGGAGTGGGTGTGTCCACCGGCATGAGGCCAGGTGCGAGGGGCAGGTGCAGATTGGAGGGGGGGGGGCAGACAGGCAACGGCTGCTGGTGGCCGGCTTGCGTTGACTTCTTTCGCTTCTTTTGACGAGCTGTGCTTGGTGGGTGGGCGCGCAGCTGCTGTTGCCGCTGCTGCTTGCGCCGGCTGATTCCACCGCTGTTCGGGGCAGCGTCGACTACTTGACGTGCACTCAGCTGCATGCCAAGTGGCAGCTGAGGCAGGGATGCACGCTTTTGATAGGGAGTGGGATTTGCACGCTTTTGCGCGGGCCCGCGGGACTAGTGAGTGTGGTGCAGTACTGCAAACGTACTGCCGCAGCTGACCCACTTGCCAAATATTCAAGGACCTGCCGTGATTGCAGGGTTGTCAGCTTATACGTTTCATCTGTGCGGTACATGCCACGTCTCACTGTTGTGATGAAGGCTGGAATCCAGACGGCCTCTCCTTGTCTGCAGACCCTGACGTGGCGTTGCGAGCTGCTGATGGGTTGAAGCTTCTGTCTGACACCCGCTTTTGAAATGTGTGTTATGATAGGTGTTGTAATGCAGACCAGCGAGGCGTGAGGATGCATGAAGCTGAACGATCTTTCACCAATAACGCCCGCGATGCTTCAGCAGCCTGCCAGTCCAGCAATACAGCAGCACTGCTGAAGCCTTGTGCAGGCATTGCCAGTACCATGGGGGCCCAGTCGCGACCTCGTGAGCCAAGAAATTTCAATCAAGGCCACAAATACTGTTTGGTGTTTGTATATATGCGCCGCACGTGACAGCAGAGGCCCCGTGTTAGTCACTCCATGATCTGCGTATGTGACGCTTCGCATCGCGAAGGATCTACTTGACCAGTGCTAGTCAAATAATATGCTCTCGTATTCTCAAATACGGCACGGCAGCCACCTGCCTGGCGCGACAACCGTCGGCGCTTAGGACGCCCATCCAGCGCACCACACAATACCTCAGCTGGGGGCGCATAGAGGCCCCCGAGACATGATGAAGAGCTGCGTGACGATCAAGTCACAAAGGTCGCAGCTAGCCCCGGGCGCGCCGCGGCCAGGGGGGCGCACCACACGCGCGCCTCGGTGGCCCGCCGCCACGTCAGACCGCGAGGCGCCGCCCGAGGCAGCCGCAGGCGGCGCCTGCCCGCTGTTCGGGTGAGGGCACATGGCAGAATCCAGACGGACAGTCATCCCCTGACCATGTTTATACCACCCTGCTTGAAACTCGTCGCCATGAGTCTCTGCTGCTCCATCGCCGCGTCCCTCTGCGGCCCCTGCCCCTAGTCTCATCCAGACCGCCACCCACCCAGGGGCCCTCGCCCCCTCGCACGCAGCCCCCAAACCCCCCCCCCCCCAAAGCCCCACACCCAAACCCCGCTCCCCACC